GGGGGCGGCTCCGCGCGCGGTGGGTTCGGGGTGAGGCTTGGGCCCGGGCGTCGTCTGTGGGCGGGCCCCAGGTGGGAAGCTCGGGTTCCGCTCCGGGGGCCCCGGGTCCCCGCGATGACGCCGCGAGCTCGGCCCTCGGGCTGTGCGTCGGCCGCGTCCCCGCCTGGTCGGCCTGGGGGCGGTCTTCGGCCTCCCAGGCCCGACGCCCCCCTTGTCTTCGTTCTCGGAGGCGGGTAGGAGGCGGGCCACGCCCGAAAGGGTCCATTCGTTCATTCATTCCACCCGAGCCCTGAGCGGCTCCGTTCGTAGGGGGATTACTGCGGCCAACCGCTCTGTTGGGCTCTTTACCATTTTTTACCTGGTTCAATCCCCACAGCAGCCGCCGCTATTAGCTGCCCGTTCTATGGATGGGGAAACGGAGGCACAAAAAGGTTAGGTCACTCGATTTGATCCGGAGCCGCCTGACGGGGAGACCCTGCCCTTCGATAGCGGAGAACAAGGGGCGCCCCAGGAAAAGGGCTTAAGAATGAGAAAAAGGGGTGATGGTTATAAGAAATGGCTCGAAGGAAGGGCAGGTTTGGGTCTTGAGGTTGAAGGTTTCAAGATGGAAGGGATATTTTGGTTAAGGACGCAGCCACTGGGTTCCTCAGCGTTGCTTTCAGTCGTTTTCTAGTCAGTTTTCAGGGCTTTGTCCCCACTACCAGTGCCCTGTTTTCCAGGTTCCGGTCTGGGCTCTCTGACCTTGGGTGGGTCACTTAGCCTGAGTCTTTCTCTTCTGTATAATGTCATTCATAACAGGACGCGCTTTTCACTGGGTTGTTAGAAGAAGTAAACGAGATTGTGAGAGTCCCTTTCCTACAAGAGGACCTGGTACAGAGCGAGCTTTGTCACTGGCCAGGGATTCCAACGCTCACTTGTTGAGAGGCTGTTCTCAGAGGGCAGGTCAGTTCTCAGAGCCTCTTTGCGAGTCTGTGAAATAGGAAAATAGAAATGGGAAAGATCGCATCTCTCCTAACCACCATTTGCGAGGGTTATGCTCCTCCCCTCCACGCTGTTACATTCAGTTGTGTGTGTTGCTTCATTGCAGTTCTCCAGTAAACCCCAACAGATAGGGATTCTGAGGAAATGGGCTCAGAGAAGCAATATAGATTGTCTAAGATCACAGTGCTTGCTGTGCTCCTTCTAACCAACACACCTGTGAGCTCCGTGAGGGCAGAAGCCCCCTTAAAATAATGCGGCCTCCCTCTGAAGCACCATGTTGAATTATAGATTACTGTCTCATCACTTTGAGGATTAGGTGAAATTGAGCAGGCTGTGTGAGCGTTAGTTGTCGTTCTTAGTGTCTTTTTTTCCCCTCTCACTACAGGTCAGAGAAACATGGCAGCTAGGCGAATTGCACAGGAGACTTTTGATGCTGTATTGCAAGAAAAAGCTAACCGATATCACATGGACCCCAGTGGTGAGGCCGTAGGTGAAGCTCTTCAGTTTAAAGCTCAAGGTGAATTAAAGCGCTTGGTTTCTTTGGGGGGAGGGTAGCTATTGGGCATTCTTTTAGAGTAAGGGCTGGAGGATATCAATGCCTTGGGCAAACTATTCAACTCCTCGGATCCTACCTTCCTTATTTGTTAAGGAGAGATAAAGTTATCTCTTGGTCTTCCTGTCAAATCATTATGCAGAAGGGGATATTGTAATTATCTGAAGCTTCTCTGCCCCAGGCATCCTCCCCCACCTAAAGAAGGGTTCTTGAATCAATCTCCTGGCTCCATCCCCACCACCCCTTCCCAGATTTGAGCTCTTACTAGTTCTCGCCTGGATTATGGCAGTAATCTCCTGAACGGTCTCTCAGCTTCTGGCTCCATTCCCCTCAAATAGGCCTCCCCGACAGATCTATTAATGCCACCCTTGCTGGGTCAAGGCCCTACTTGGACTCTTGAGGCTCCCCATTTCGGGGTTATATCCTCAGACAAGTGCAGGAGCAACCTGGTAATAATTAATAGTGATGTGTACAAGACGAGGGCATGGGAGGTTGCCAAGTGTAGGCCTTGCCTGAAAACATTCCCCTTGGAAAGTTTTGAAATGTCACGCCAGCAGAATCAAAAATGGTGCACACACTGTTTGCAGGATGACAGAGAGGTCCCTCACTGTGCCACATAAGGCTCCCAGCCTTCATGACCTGCCTTTGGGGCTCATGTTTCAGTGACACTGTGCTGCCTGTTTGTGCTTTGAATCCCTCCCCAGCCCAGCCCAGCCTAGCCTGGTTAAGGCTCTCGGGCACTAAGACCCAGCTTGCACATGCCTTCCTCCAGGAAGCTCCTGCAGGCTTTGAGGTTGATTTGATTGCTCTTCCAGGCCCCTGAGCACTCCCTTTTTTGAGGTGGGCCAGCCTCCTCCAGGCCTCCTTTGGGCCTGTGCTGCTCCCTGCACCAGCCCCTGAGCCAGTTTCCACTGAGGAAACTTCCTCAGTGTTGACTGAGTGAGTCTAAGTGCTTGGGGCAGGGATAACTTGTGTACTTTGGATGTGGAGAAACCAAAGCCTAGAAGCTGTCTTCAGATTCTGAATTTTTAAAAATGCTTGAGTATTTTTACACAAAAACCTTCCCATTATAAGGGATTAGAAGAATTAAGAAGTAGTTAGGAGTATGGGGCACCTGAGTGGCTCAGTCAGTTAAGCATCTGCCTTCATTCAGCTCAGTTCATGATCCCAGGGTCCTGGGATCCCACATCAGGCTCTGCTCAGCGGTGAGCCTGCTTCTCCTGCTGCTCCCCCTGCTTGTGCGCACACACATGCACTCTGTCTGGCAAATAAATAAAAACAAAACAAAACAGTAGTTAGGAGTATAATGTAAAAGTCTTTAGGTGCTTTCTTACCCCTCAGAGGTAACCATATCTGTGGTGTTTTGTGAATCTTTCAGTTCTTCTATGATATGTTTATGTAATCCTAAATACTTACGTATTGATATATGTGTATACACACATTTATGTGTATATGTTTATGCATGTATATATATATATATACACATACACACATATATAACTGGAGATTTAAATCTTGGTTTATTTTTATGTAGAGACTCAAATGTCAATATGTATCTTAGTCTCCTCAAGAAAGATGGGGGGTAGGAGCTGTACTAGGAAACCAGCAGGATGCTAGATGGTTCTGGAACCACCACTTTGTCACAGAGCTAGGTCCATCGATTGGCCTTTCACTGTGTCTGTTCTAGTCTGTATTGCTTTACAAGGCATCTGAAAATCCCGTTGTGCAGACTCCATCCACCACTCTTCCTAATGCTACTGCCCTAACCGTGCCAGCAATAGCCATCAATACCTGGATTATCCCAGTGGACTTTTTGCTGGAACATCCATATCCACTCTTGTACCTGGTGGTCAATTCCCTGCACTAGCCTGTGAGGTCGCCCCTTTGCTCTGAACCCCTTCATGGCTTTCCATCTTGGTCAGAGTAAACTATAGAGTCCCATTGAGGGCCTGACTTGATCTGTTACCCCCATTCTGTTCACATCCTCTAGCATAGTGGTTCCTTAACTTTGCTGCTTGTTAGAATCATCTGGGGACCCTTTAAGATTTTATTTATTTATTTATTTATTTATTTATTTATGAGAGAGCGAGGGAGAGCGCGCGCAAGCTAGAGAGCACGCTCATGTGCATGGGGAGGGTCAGAGGGGGAAGGGGAGGGACAAGCAGAATCCACAATGAGCGTGGAGCCCGACGTGGAGTTAAGTCTCATGAACCTGAGATCATGAACCAAAATCAAGAGTCTGACACTCAGCCGACTGAGCCACGTAGACAGCCCCCTGGGGACCCTTTAAAAACCCTAATGCCCAGGCCACACCCCATCCCAATTAATTAAATCAGAATGCCTGGGGATCCCCAAGGACTCCAGTGTGCAGTAGAGTTTAGGAGCCACCTTCTTACCACTTTGCCACCGTTACTCTCTTCCATTCTGGCTACACTTGTTCCCTGCTAGTCTTACCTCAGGGCTTTGTCCTTATGCTCCCTCTGCCTGGAAGGCTTCCCCCATAACTGCGCAGTCTGGCCCCCGACACCAGGCCTCTCTGCACAAATACATTGTTGTCAGAGCAGCTTTCCTTGGCCAGCCTGTCTGAAAACGTCTCTCCCTCTTCATGTTCTTGCCTGCTTGATATTTCTTATTGGCACTTTTGTACATGTGTTGGATTTTTGTTTATTGTTTGGCTCCCTCAACTGATAAATCCAGGGGAGTAGGGATTTTGTTGTCTCCTTTCCCTGCTATATAACTCCATTGCCTAGAGCAGTGCCCACACACAGTAGTTGCTCAGCAAGTACTTGTTGAACAAATAAATTTGGGTTTATATAAAGCTTTAGCTTCTTGTGGTCTCTTCGCCCATTACTACTCCCTGGCATCTCTCTCCCTTTTATTTGATGTCTTGACTAGGTAATATTTTGATTCATAAGCTAGAAAGTTAGAAAGCTACTCTGCAAAGTCTCCCTGAGGCCTGCTGTTCCCATGTTCCTGGTTTCTTACAGAGTTTCTTTATGTGTGAATAAGCAAATGCAAATTCAGGTTCCTATTTTTCTCATTTCTATTTTCTCATTTCTACTACTGTTCAATTTTTACTGTGGCCTCTCTTGCTGCGGCTTGTTTAGCTTCTGTGTTCTCTCTTATCTGTTTTAGTCTCTGTTTTTTCAGAGGATTGATTGGCCCAGTGGACCTTTGCAGGGAGCCTGTCTGCCACCTTTGGGTCAGATGCTCAGCTGTGGTTGGCTGTGGTGGGTGTAGTGTCCGACATGGCTCCTGCCTCAGTGGCACTGTGACCTAACACTTTCTCCTCCGAGGGAGGGAGGGCAGGCAGCCTCCAGAGAAACTGTCTACTGTGTGCTAGAAGTAGAAATGTACAAGTGTTCCAGTTGTAGTGAAGAAGCCCAGGTTATTTGGGGACCAGACACCCTTTCCTGAGTCAAAAAGAGGGCTTATAAAACAGATGCCTGCAGAGCCAGGACAAGAAGGCCGAGTGAATTAGGAGCACCACTGCCCAGCCTCTGTGCACTGTCATCCAGGCACATGCAGGCCCAGTGCTTGTAGGTATTCTGTTTTTAGAATTTGTAAATCCAGATTTTTAAGTAAAGCCACACACATTTTAAATGTTAGAAACAAACACAAATTTTTTAAATGCATTCTGGCAAATAAAGGACCCCTGCTGGCTGGTGGTGTGTGGACTGTCTTTTTGCAACCTCTGGTCTAAATTACCTTTTTGGATCGTCTATTTCAGATCTTCTAAGGACAGTCCCAAGAGCCAGAGCAGATATGTATGATGACATTCCTAGTGACAGCAGATATGCTCTGGCTGGATCTGTAGCCCACCCTCGAGACACTGGAAGAGAAAGCCTGAGAGGTGATGTATTTCCAGGACCTTCCTTCAGATCAAGCAATCCTTCTGTAAGTGAAGACAACTACTTTCGCAAAGAGTGTGGCCGGGATTTGGAATTTTCCCACCCTGATTCCCGAGACCAGGTTTTTGGCCACCGGAAATTGGGACATTTCCGTTCTCAGGACTGGAAATTTGCGCTCCGTGGCTCTTGGGAACAAGACTTTGCCCACTCCGTTTCTCAAGAATCCCCTTGGTCACAGGAGTATAATTTTGGTCCTTCTGCACTACTGGGGGACTTTGGTTCCTCCAGGCTGATTGAGAAAGAGTGTTTGGAGAAAGAGAGTCAGGATTACGACGTGGACCGTCCAGGGGAGGCAGACTCTGTGCTCAGGGGCAGTGCCCAAGTCCAGGGCAGAGGCCGAGGTCTAAACATCGTTGACCAGGAAGGGGCCCTTTTAGGGAAGGGAGAGACTCAGGGCCTACTCCCAACTAAAGGGGGAGTCGGGAAACTTGTCACACTAAGAAGTGTGAGCACAAAGAAAGTACCCACTGTAAATCGTATTACTCCCAAAACTCAGGGCACCAACCAAATCCAGAAAACCACCTCAAGTCCTGATGTGACCCTGGGGACAAACCCAGGGACAGAAGATATCCAGTTTCCCACTCAGATCCCTTTGGGGCTCAATTTGAAGGATATTCGGCTCCCCAGAAGAAAGATGAGCTTTGACCTCATAGATAAGTCTGACGTTTTTTCAAGATTTGGGATAGAAATAATCAAATGGGCAGGATTCCATACCATAAAAGATGATGTTAAATTTTCCCAACTTTTCCAGACTCTCTTTGAACTCGAAACCGAAACCTGTGCTAAAATGCTCGCTTCGTTCAAATGCTCCTTAAAACCAGAGCACAGAGATTTTTGCTTTTTTACTATCAAATTTTTAAAGCACTCTGCTTTGAAAACACCCAGAGTTGATAACGAGTTTTTAAACATGCTTTTAGACAAAGGTGCTGTGAAGACCAAAAATTGCTTTTTTGAAATCATAAAGCCCTTTGACAAGTACATAATGAGGCTTCAAGACCGGCTCCTGAAGAGTGTAACACCCCTGCTCATGGCGTGCAATGCTTATGAGCTGAGTGTCAAGATGAAGACCCTCAGTAACCCCCTGGACTTGGCTATTGCCCTGGAGACCACCAATTCTCTCTGCCGGAAATCTTTAGCCCTTTTGGGACAGACTTTCTCCTTGGCGTCTTCTTTCCGGCAGGAGAAAATCTTAGAAGCCGTGGGCCTCCAAGATATAGCTCCTTCTCCTGCCGCATTTCCAAATTTCGAAGACTCTACTCTGTTTGGGAGAGAATACATCGATCACCTGAAGGCCTGGCTGGTCAGCAGTGGGTGTCCGCTCCAGGTCAAGAAAGCTGAACCTGAGCCAACCCAAGAGGAGGAGAAAATGGTTCCTCCTACCAAACTGGAAATTCAGGCCAAGGCTCCGAGTGGTCTGAGTGATGGTAAGGAAAGCACTGAAAGTTCCTATTTATTGTGATTAGTTTGTTTTTCATGTTTTCTTGTAATGTCTCTTATTTTCTTTGAGATTTTTGCACAGAAGTTTTTTAGCCAACTGGAAACAGAGTTTTAGTAGAAAACTCATATTGGCCAGGGTGCATGTCTGCTATTCATTCTGAAAGCGTATATTAGGAATCTTCTGTCTACCACAGAAGTCCTTAGACATTTCTGGGTCACAGATTCCTTTGGGAATCTGATCAAAAGCTGTGGCCCTTGCCAGGAAAAATGCACACATATTTGTACACAATTCTGCCTGTGCTTTCTGGGGGGTTTGTACCATCCTGCAGCCAAGGTTAAGAAGCCCTTGTTACAGCATCTCCCTCCCCCCACCCTAAGGTATTAGTAGAGGGGAAAGTAAACACTGGGCACTGTCTCTGGGGAGTCCCCAGGCTCCTAAGCGACAGAAGTCTCAAAACCCAGCTCCTCCTGTGCCAGGATTAGGGGGATGGAAGAGACCCTAGCCCAGGGGAGTTGGGGAGGCCATGTTTGAGCTGTGTTGAGGGACCAGCAGAGATTAGCCACGTCAGCCCAGGTAGTAGAAGCACCTTTCTACCCACTCACTTTTCTAGAACAGCTAAAAGTCGATAGATCAATTAGGTACATCTGGTAACCTGCAGTTAAGGAGTCAGCTTTGGGGAGGTTCCAGAAAGGCCAAGAAAGAGGTAATACTAAGAAAAAAAAAACAACAAGTATTATAAACATTTGGCTGTTTGGTGTCCTCTCTCCCTCTTAGCACCCAGACATCCTAGAGGTCATGTCCTAGCCCAGACATCCCAGAGGTCATGAGCATATGTGGTGCCCATGTGACTCACGATGAAGCACCTACCCCCCCCTTTACCTCAGGAGGAAGTCCCTTTCCCCAGAAGGCAGGTTTCAGCTTCCATTGCCCCAGCCAAGTGGGAAAGCCTTGTTTGTCCCTGAATCTCTTTACTCCTCTACGCCCTTATGCAGCCCTGATTACATCAGGCACTGGGTAGGTCCCACCATGGATGGGCAGCCACAGCTACTCCTGGAGAGGGAGCCTTCAGAAGTGGGCTCAGGGCTGAAGCAGGACCCCTCCTCCCCACACCCCTCATAGTGGAGTGGAAAGTCAGTGTCATGATGATACTGAAGCACTTTGTTTGAAGGAGGAGAAAAACACCCATAACCTAAAGTTGCCCACCACTATTTTCTGGTTTTGTTGCTATGCGGGTGCACCCATAGCACCAGTATTGCTGTGCTGAAAACACTGCAGTCTATTCTTTTATAGGATCATCAAAGGCCTTTTTCTGTGTTTCAGCAGCATTTGCTGCATCATGATACTGACCTAACGTAAATTACCTCACCCTTCTCTTCCTGTGAGACTGTGCTGCCCTTTACTAGAGGCCTCTGAGGCTGAGCAGAGCTGGGTTCCCTTGTAATTGACGTCTGCAAGCCTGGGCTGTCTGGACAGCAGGTAGATGGCAGGAGCGCCCGTGTCTCATGGGGTATGTCCCGCCAGTGCTCGCATTACTGTCAGAAATGCGGAGATGACATCTTCAGTTGAATGTTTTGGTTACCACTATTGTTATTTTTTATTTTTTAGTTCCCCTCTATAGAATATGGTCAGGGGAAGAGGATTGTGGGGCCAAAGCTGGGACGCTTGCTTATGGTTACCTTCTCGAGAGATGGTTGCAGTGATCCACAAATTACGTTGTTTTTCAAAGCTTCCAACTCTGAACCTTTTATTCTTTGGTAGCATTGTGTAAAACCAGCAATTCTGTAGGATGAGAGCCAATAACAAAAAAAAAAAAAGGAAAGGAATTTCAAAGGGGAAATAATTGCAGTAGCATGACAATTGAAGAATGCATTTAGCCAGTGTAAAGAGCTCACACTGAGGTTTAAAATAAGTTTTAAAAGGGGCGCCTGGGTGGCTCAGTCGTTAAGCGTCTGCCTTCGGCTCAGGTCATGATCCCAGGATCCTGGGATCTAGCCCCGCATCACATCGGGCTCCCTGCTCCGCAGGAAGCCTGCTTCTCCCTCTCCCTCTTATCTTTAATAAGATAAAATAAGTTTAAAGCTGCAACTGAGACATAAGCAAGGACTGGACAGTGCAGTTACTCCACAGAACAAACTGGAAGACCTCTCCAGTTCAGGAGTGGTTTTTATCGAATGACTAAATAAACAGACCATTCTGTGCAGTTAAAACTAGCAAATATCAGAAAACTAAACAGTCTTATTAATTGAGGGCCAGCTGCTCTTCTGTGTTGCCAGTGGCGTTGTAAATTGAAACTCATTAAGGAGGGGCGCACCTGGGTGGCTCAGTCAAACATCAGACTTTTGATCTCAGCTCAGGTCTTGATCTCAGGGTCCTGAGTTCAAGGCCCCTGTTGGGCTCCACACTGGGCCTGGACCCTACTTAAAAACAAAAACAAAAGTGCTCGCTTCGGCAGCACATATACTAAAAAACAAAAACAAAAAACACACACTTCATATTGAAGGAAATTTACACTTTAAGAAATGTTTTTGTTTTCATGTATTCAGCAAATATTTTCTGTGAACACCTATCCTAGGGCCACTGACTTTTTTGATTAGGGAATTTTTCTTTGTAAATTTATATGTATGTTTTCTGATTATAAAACACATGCATATTTATTTTTTATAGATAAAGCACAAAGAAAATGAAGTCTCTGGTAAATCTACCCATAGATAATATCTATTAACATTCTGACATATTTCCTTCTTTTTTTCTCCACGTGTCCGTATTTGTGTATCTCTTCTTCGCTCCTTCATATTGGGAATCATAATCTAGATTTTTTTTTTATGTATTTTATACTGACTTACCTTTTTTTTTTTTTTAAAGATTTTATTTCTTTATTTGACAGAGAGAGACACGGCGAGAGAGGGAACACAAGCAGGGGGAGTGGGAGAGGGAGAAGCAGGCTTCCTGCGGAGCAGGGAGCCCCATGTGGGGCTCGATCCCAGGACGCTGGGATCATGACCTGAGCCGAAGGCAGACGCTTAACGACTGAGCCACCCAGGCACCCTACTGAGTTACATTTTATATCTTTATATGTTTTTCACTTAATATGAACATTCCAGTTAAGCAATACCTGACAAGCAGAATAGAATTGCTACATATCATTTCTTTCTGTAGAATATATGCATATATTGTTCTGTACAGTCACTATAAGCTTGTGACTTTCTCTTCTAGTGGTTATGCTGTTCTGTCTTTTGGGATCATATTTTGGGTATTGGTTTTTAGAATACCATGCTGCTCTCCTCTTTTCAATGCTGATTTCTCTTGAATGAGGATTTTGGTCACTGGTGCCTGCTTAGGTTCCATCCTAAGCCTCTGACTCCATCCTGGTCATCCCAGGCCCCATGTGGTTCAGTGTGTTTCTCAGAAAAGCCCTCTTGTGTGTTCCAGCAGTCCCCCAGCGAGCAGATCACAAGGTGGTGGACACAATCGACCAGCTGGTCACTCGTGTTGTTGGAGGCAGCCTATCTCCCAAAGAGAGAGCTCTTCTCAAGGAGGACCCTGCTTACTGGTAGGTCTTTAAATGTTGGCCCTCCAAATCCCTCCCATAGAACACACGGCAAAATTTGTGTCTTGATGGTGTCCAACACAGAGGGTGAGGTATTAATTTTGAGGAGTGGTGTTAGCCAATGGGAACAGCATGAGAGAGGGTTGGGTTCACTGACATTCAATTCCCAGCCCTGCTGCCACCCTGCCATGTGGCCTTCTCTTGTCCGGTCCAGGAGCCCCTCGTGCCTCTGTGCTGGCTTAAGGATGAGGTGAGAGGTGCATGCGGAGAGCACGTGAAGATAAGGGATGGGTCACAGCAGTTGTTCGTGACTTACTGCTACTGTTTGTTCAACTCTCTTCTCCTTTTGCCTTACTGCCTCTTCACACAAATGGAGCAAGTTTTTAAAATTAAAGTTTTCAGCATAAATGCAGTACTTGTTTATTAGAGGAAGTTGAGAACAAGGGTGAAGCCCCTTGTATGCCCGCCGACATCTACTGCCAGTTTTGCCTGTTTGCTTCCAGTCTCTCTGCCCACTGAGGGCTATTTGGGTTTTTGTTTAATATAGCTGTGATTTTACTATGATATAATATATCTTGCTCTTTTGGGGTTTATGTATTTTATTTTTTCTGCTCATTTTAGATAACACCGAAAAATGCTCGTATTCTTTATCTTTCATAAACATTTTCAGACAGCTGCGTTTATTAGTCCATAGAGGAGGTGGCCAGAGTTTAGTTAGCCATCCCTCTCTGGTTAGACTTTCAGAATGATTTTGATTGTATACTGTTTCAAACTGCTTCAGCAAATGGCTTAGTGCAGCCTATTTTCTTGTGTGTTTAGGATTATCTCTAGATTGCTGCAAGTGGAAAATGTTCATACTTTAACTTTTCTTAAAGATTTATTTATTTATTTATTTATTTATTTTTAAAGATTTTATTATTTATTTGAGAGAGAGAGAGCATGTGAGCAGGGGAGGAACAGAGGGAGAGGGAGACAATTTCCAGCAGACTCTGCACTGAGCGCAGAGCCCAATGCAGGGCTCGATCCCAGGACCCTGAGATCATGACCTGAGCCAAAACGAAGAGTCAGATGCTCAACCAGCTGAGCCACCCAGGCGCCCCTGACTTTTTTTTAAATCATAAAAGTGGCATATGTCCTTTGTAAAAATAGAAAAAAGTAATAAGGTAAAGATACTGTCACTCAGAGCTCCACCAGTTCTCCCTCTCAGTGTGTCCTAGGTTTCAAACCTAACATCACTGTCCCTTTAGCAGTGGGTACATGCTCTTCCTTTGTACACAGGTACCCTAGCATACTCAACCATTGCCCATTGATGAGTTCTTAGATTCTTTCCAGTTTTTCCCTACCATAAATACCATTATGATGAACAATGTTTTCTGTTTATTTCTGTCTACATTTCTGGCATTTATTAGGGTAGTATCTGGGAGTGAAATTGCTGGGTTAAGAAGAAAATTAACTTTACAGGCCTTTGATCTCTGTCGCTTTTTCTCAGCTGCAGCATGATTGACCTTTGAGACTGGATAATCCTCTGGTGGGGACTGTCCTGTGCTTTGCAGGGTATTTATTAGCATCCTTTGCCTTCCCCCTTACACTGGATGCCAGTAGAATCCTCCATCCCAGAAGCTGGCCACTGGGGGCAGGAGTTGCCCCTGGTGGATGCCATCGTTCTTTATCTAATCAGGTTACTTTCTGTGGGTTATCTGTCCCAGTTGACAAAATGCTTGAAAGGCATCAATTGCCACGTAACAGTACTAGAGTTTTGGTCTTAACCAGCATGATTTACCAGGGGGAAGGGTTGGAGCTTATATGGTTTTATTTTTACAGAATTCTCAGACTCATTTGTATTATTTTCATATTTAGAATGAGTGGGCATATAACTTAAAAGTTAAAAAAAAAAAAAACAGCCAATAAGCAAATTGTTCCATCATAATTTATTGAAAACTTTATTATCAAACACTTTTTGCTTTCTCTGCACTTGGTACTATTGTCGGCGCTTTTCTGATTTAAGCACTAGCTGACTGAATCCTCATAAACCTTGTGAGGCAGGTATGTTGTCATCCTTATTTTACAGATAGGAGATAGGAGACTTGAGGCTCAAAGAGGCCTCTTACCTAAAGAGTGCAAAGCTAGTAAGATAGAGTTGAGATTCTCATCCAGGTTCTTGCTCTCAATCTGTGTGCGTGCTGAAGGAAGGAAGCTAGATAGCCTCAGGTTGACAGGTGAAAGCAGAGACCAAACCCTCTTGGGTAAAGTACTCTCCAGATTTGAAAGGCTCGGGCAATTTCCAAGTGATTGGGCTGGAGGGAAAGGGGACCCCGAGAAGAGGGACATGTGCCTCTGCATCATGACCAACCAGGCTCATGATCACTGATGGCCAGTGGTAACAGACAAAACCATAACCAGAGTTGTACATATGGGAGGTGGGGTACAAAATCAGAAATAAGCATTGAATTAGAAATCAAATATTTGAGAAAAATGAACATCATGAAGGAAAGTCACCAAACTCAACAAATAGAGCTGACACCTGAGAAGACTGAGTTACATAAGAAAAAAAGTTAGTGTAAAAATATATGTGTGTGGTTAACAGTCTTCGGTGGATAATAGTATATTGTATCCATGAAACAGGAGCTTTTTGTTTTTGGAAAAGAATCTGTTAAAGATCTTGGAAATTGGGCGCCTGCGTGGCTCAGATGGTTAAGCGTCTGCCTTCGGCTCAGGTCATGATCCCAGGGTCCTGGGATCAAGTCCCACATCGGGCTCCCTGCTAGGCAGGGAGCCTGCTTCTCCCTCTGCCTCTGCCTCTCTGACTCTCATGAATAAATAAATAAAACATTTATTAAAAAAAAAAAAAGATCTGGGAAATGAAGTCTGATTGTTGAAATAAAAATCCCAGCGGTTGGCTAGAATAGACCCAGATGAAGAAGAGATTAGGGAGCTGGACTCAGACTTGACTCCTGGAAAACTCCTTCAGAAGAAATTACCAGAGACTATCAGAGGAAAAGATGTGGTGCCAAGAAAGAATGATAAGAAGCTAGTAAGGTTAGGGCTTTGGTGTGTACATTAGAATTCTTAAAGGAGTCCGTGTATGTAGTTTATAAAAATCAGTTGAATTAAGAAACGCAAAATGTTTCCACTTTGACCAGTTCCCATGCCAGTTCTACTCCTCGCAGTCAGTCTCTTTTGGTATTTTAAACTTCTAAATTATCTCTTGATGATAAGCCTGTGTTGCTCTTCCTTGATCTATCAGTTTTAGCCATCACTGTTGAAATCCTATGAAGATAAGTGAGGATTTAGCTTTCTCTCCTCTCAGTCACTCATCAGAAAACCACCTTCTTGCTAGGCTCCAGTGCTGTGTTAGGTTCTTTTTATTAGTTAGTAAAAGTTCAGACCTTAGGAAACACGTAAGAAGGCTTTGCGTTATCTCAGCCCTTCAAGGAACAGCAGAGATTTGCGACTTCTATCTCCCTACAAGGAGGAGCAAACACTGGTTTGTTCACAGCCGGGCCTTGTGGACAGAACTGGCCATTGCCGCTCACTGAGGCAGCCTGCACCTTCTGGTGCCCTAAAATAACAGTAGTAGTGCAGACACCCACTGCAGCTTTGCTTCCTTGTCAGGAGCACCCGTTCGCAAAGCTTCCTCCATTCTCTATGAGAGAGATTGCAAAGCAGCAGGCCCATAGAATGGTCCCAAGGATGTAAGATGTAGAAGTGAAAGAATATGTCACTTTGTTTTTCCCATCTTCTAAGTTGTCCCTTCAGAGTGGGATGGTCCTGACCCTTGCTGGACTATGCCCTACAGGGACAGCCCACCATGTCCACATGTTTACAGACTGAGGAGAAAGCATGTGGGCTTGAATCCCTCTTGGCTGGCCCCAGCAGGATTGTCCAAGGGCCTCAAAGCAAATACAAGATCTAAATAATTGATGCTGGGGTGGGGGGGCAGACATGAACCCTAAAACCCCAGATAATCTAGACAATGTAAGGTGGTAAGTAGCAGGAAAGAGATGGATACTAAGGTTCTTGTCCTGTTAAAAGTGAGGATATAGGGACGCCTGCGTGGCTCAGTCAGTTAAAGTATCTGCCTTTGGCTCAGGTCATGATCCTAGGGTCCTGGGATCAAATTCCGCTTCAGGCTTCTTGCTCAGCAGGGAGCCTGCTTCTCCCTCTGCCTGCCGCTCCCCCTGCTTGTGCTCTCTCTCCCTCTCCCTCTCTCTCTCTCTGACAAAAAAAAAAGTGTGAGGATATAGCTAGTGACTAGTTCTGAACACAGAAAATAATAGTTTAAGTGTATATTAATCTGATTAGCCAGTAAAGACATAGAAGTGGGATTTATAACTTCCACACTACTGTAGAGGGTGAAGCCAAAAAGAAAATGTATTCATCCCAATGAAAAGCAAGAAAGGGAAAAAAAATTAAAAAGGAGGGCAAATAGGAAACGAGTACAATGGTGCCACCTTTACCAGGGACTTGGGTTTAAAAGTACCAACTATTGCTTCCTCTCAGAGATAAATAAAACAGAGTGGGGGAAAAAATGGAAAATGACATACCAAGCAAAGGCTATCCAAAAAAAAAAAAAAAAAAGAGGTATGTAAAAGTTGTTTCAGACAAAACAGAAAAAGCATAAAAGGGGGCAAAGTAGGCTACTGACCAGGCGCAGTCATCATGGAGCCCAACACAGGTCTCGAACTCACAACCCTGAGATCAAGACCTGAGCAGAAACCAAGTCATACGCTTCGCCAACTGAGCCAGCCAGGCACCCCAATAGTTGGGAATCTTGATGCCTGAACTACGTAGCTTAGAGCTGTGTAAATAAACAACACTTAGAAATATAAGAGGAATTGATCGATCTATATCATGGCAGGAGGCTTGAATATAATTCTCTGAAATGGGTAGATGTCATCCAAATAAGAGAATATTTAGAACACAGTGAATGGGCATAAACAGGTAAAGATGATGTGCTAATGTTTGTTGAGCAGTTAGTGAATGCCACACAGTATTTAAAGCATTTTTCTTACAATGGAAAGTGTGTAACTCAAGCCTCACAACAACGTGATGAAGTAATTTATTACTGTCTATCCCTCTTACAGATAGAGGAACTGAGGCACAGAAAAGTTCAGTAAATCTCATGGCTAATAAGTGGCCATGCTGGGATTTGAACCCAGCAGGCTGGCTTGGGAAAGTTCTGTGCTCTTAATGTTGTGTTCCATTAGAACTTGGGGAGACTGACATCCTCAGACTGCACTTCGCATCAGAACTCTCCAGGGGAAAGGGGCTTGTATCCTGGGGCTCTGGGTCACCTGGGTGCTGACTCCGCTTTCTGCCCTGGGTGAGGGGTACCCTTGCTGGGGCTGCGTTTCACAGGAGAACCAGACCATCTGTTCCTTTATGTGGGAACCCTTGCTCGTTAGGGTGCAGGACGCTGCTGCTGGCCCGGCAGAGTGCGTGGGGCAGCAGCGGAGCCGGCGTGCAGCCTGTGTCCTCAGACCCAGCCGGACCTTAACCGCAGATGGCAGCATCGAGAGCTGCACACGGAGCTTCCCCCCAGGGGCCCCCCGTGGTACGCCGTGCTGCCGGCACCCTGCTTCACGCAGCCAGCTGGCTCCTGTCACTGGTGATCGGGAACTGCACCTAGGAAAGCGGCCTCTTAACGTCAGGCAGACTGAAGGCCGCCTGAAATGCTGCCCTGCCCACCAAACAGTAGTCATTCTTCTTGAACACAAACTGAAATTGAACATTCACGAACTCCTGTTATGTGTGAGGTCCCAGAGAGACTCTCCGCACATCCCAGGAAAGGAAAACCACATGGGCCACATTGCACGATTGCCACGATGCATAAAAGTCAAAACTAGCATAACAGCCAAAATAAAACTTGCTTCTAAGTAACTTTTGAGTGAAGGGGAATGAGAACTGACTTTAGGAACTTCTCAGAAGGAGCTAGCAGGGGGCGCCCTGCACACTGGATGCGGCTGCAGCCATACATAGAGGAAAGTGCAACGCAGGACACGTTTGTCAGAAATGGAGTGAATGTAAGCATTCACCACATGAGGCCAGGAGGAAATGGCAAGAAAAGTCCAGACCCTAGAAGGGGAGGATTAATAGAGCTGAAAGAAGGTGCTAACGAAGTGGAAAACAGAGTAAAGAGTGTGTGAGTTCCCTCCATGCCCCTTACTGTCCATTCCCCAGGGCTAATTAAGTTAGCTTTATATTCTTTCGATGTCGACTCTGTGAGAAAAGCGAATGCACGTGGATCTATGTACACAAAGCAGATTCATGTGGTCCACGTCAGTGTTGGTGTTCTTCTGTAGCTTGCTGTCCTCTCTGGCTGTATCGTGGATGTCTTTCTGTGTCGGCACTCGGGACTCAACCTCCTCTTTCCTATACTGTTTTTTTTTGTCTTTTTTTAAGATTTTATTTATTTATTTGTTTGACAGAGCATGCACAAGCAGGGGGAGCGGCAGGGAGGGGGAGAAGCAGGCTCCCCGCTGAGCAGGGAACCCGATGCGGGGCTCGATCCTAGGGCCCTGGGATCATGACCTGAGCTGAAGGCAGACACTCCACCGACTGAGCCACCCAGGCGCCTCTGTACTGTTCTCGTTATGACTCTGGCACATGATTTCACAGCCATGGCACTCTGGCCTCGGTGGTGCAGTTGAAGCCAGGGTCTCTGAGTACTCCGCCTCACTGGGCTCTTTGAAGGGTGTCACCTCCCAAAAATGGCACCCACAAGCGACAGAGTGGCAGTGTCTCTGTGGCTCCAGAGTGATTATGTTACGAGGCTACTAGGGGTTGTGAGCACCTTCACCGCTGGGGATGGCGAAACCCAAGGAGGAACCGACCAGTGCTGGACCAGAGCTGCCACTGCCCTGCAGTTACTGTGGGCAGGACGGGGACCCGGGGGGTCCATGGATCAGAGCCTCTCGGATGGCAGGGAGGCTGCCACTTGGAAAGGGTGTGAGAAATGGGATCGTAGCAACAATTCGGTACGTGGTGTTGTTTTAACCAATGTCCTTCTGTGCCTGTTTTGTTATGTAGGTTTTTGTCTGATGACAGTAGTCTGGAATACAAATATTACAAGCTGAAGCTGGCAGAAATGCAGCGGATGAGCCACACCTTGCCAGGAGCAGATCAAAAGCCAACAGCGGCAGAGTGTGCAGTCCGGGCCATGCTGTATGCTCGGGCGATCCGGAGCCTCAAGAAGAGGCTCCTCCCAGGCCGGCGGCGGGGGCTGCTCCGCACCCAAGGGCTCCGGGGCTGGAAGGTGAGGAGAGCAACCACTGGGACCCAGACCCTCCTCTCCTCGGGCACCAGACTGAAACACCATGGCCGGCAGGCTCCAGGTTCATTGCAGGGAAAGCTGTCCCAGCCAGATGGAAATGAAACTGCCAAGGACTGCCCGCCTGACCCGGCCGGACCCTCTCCTGGGGACCCCAGCCCAGAAGCCTCGGGCCCATCCCCCAAGCCAGCAGGAGTGGGAGTCTCTGAAGCCCCTCAGACCTCCTCTCCCTGCCCATCTGCTGACGGTGGGTACTCACTCCCATCCCCCTCTTTGGGCCCCAGCCCCGACTCTCCAACCTCCAGGGGTCCCTCAGGGTTGGGGATGGGAGACCTGGGTGGTCTGAGCCATCTGTGCAGCAGGCAGGAGCAACAGGGACCTGGCCAGGACAGGTGCACATGGAGGCACTCTCCTCTTATTTCCTAGAGGGGCTGGCCCTCGAGTCCTGTAGCCGGCTTCCTCCTGTCCAGGGGTCAAGCTGACTCACCATGCTCCCCTACCAGGTCCTCCTGCTGGCCACCCGGTTGTGCCCTGGGCCCATGCTTGGGGCTTTGAGCACCTCCATCCATTTCTCCCTCTGTTCTTGCTCCTCTTTACCTTCCGTAGGGCTGCCCTCGTCTCTCGTTCTGCCTTTTCTTTCCCAAGGTCTGTTTCCTTTCTTAGGGTTAGCTGACCTGCAGTTTCTTCTGGCCATTACCTTTTCTCTGCGACAGGCCTGCCCCCGACCAGTACTTCGCACTTACCACTAGGTGGGAATGGAGAGGGGAAACAAAGTCTCCACCACTGCTACATTCTCTAGCTTTTGCTGTATAAAGAGCCGTTCTGAGCTATGCCTTCCAACGGGGTATCCAGTGCTCCAAGTCTGCTGAACTGGGCTGGGCCCACCTGTGTGTTTGTAGGCAGCAGCTGGTTGTGTGGGGCCATCGGCTGAGGTAACAGGGATGTCTGGGCCACATGCCTTTCGCCCCCTAGCAGCCAGCCTGGATTTGTTCACCTGACAGGGTTGGGCCTCCAGGAGGGCAGCGGAGGTGCTCAAGGCCTCTGAAGCCCAGGTTCCACACTGATGCCACCTTCTGTCAGTCAGCAGGAGTCCCAGGGCCAGCCCCAGTTTTGGGGGGAGAGAAGAGAATCTCCTTCTGCTGGACAGAGCTACAGAGTCCCATGGCAAAGGGCAAGGATGCAGTGAGGGGACATGAGGAGCTGTCTTTATAATTAGTCTCCATAACCACCCCCCCAAAGTTGAAATTGGAAGCAGCTACTCAGAACTGACATGTGACAGTCACTTTGTTTTGTAGTTGACATGAAGACCATGGAAACTGCAGAGAAGCTGGCCAGATTTGTTGCTCAGGTGGGACCAGAGATTGAACAGTTCAGCATAGAAAACAGCACTGACAACCCTGACTTGTGGTATGTAGCCATCGTGCCCTTTGAATTTGAGTGTGTTTACTCTATGAGTGTCCTGAGAGAGAGCCTGTGGGGTGGCCTGGCAGACACACTTCTGCCCCAGGAGGCACCCGAGGAAAAGTCATGGCTTCGCTTCTGCCAAGCTCAGGGCTGTGAGGGGAAAGCGTCTGCTTAGGGGTGTTGGGCGGTGCTGCCCTCCTCTGGGGCATCAGAAAAAACCTGCCCTGGAGGGAAGTTTAAGCTGTATTTGAAGGTCAAGTGGGCTTTGATCAGGGGAAGGGGGAGAGAGCACCCAGCTAGAGAGGCTAATCGGTTCCCTAGAACCTCTGCAGATGCCGAGTGGTGTGGGGTACGGGGAGGAGGAGGGCGGTGCACTGTCCCTGGTCACACCAGTGCTCCGGGCAGTGATGGATGGGGTCCTGGTCCAGCTGTGGGCAGCAAGCACTTCCATGTAGTGGGGGCCTGGCATCCTTTTGCCAGGAGGGGGTGCTGTTACCCTTGCCATTCCTCAGATGGGGTGCCTAGTCACCACCACACAGCCTGCAGGTGACAGAACCAGGAGCCTGCTCTGCCTTGTGGGGCACAGGTTCACCTCCTTCAGGGGGAGGCTACCTGGGAGCCCCGTGTTCCTGATACTGAGCCATAACCAGGTGGGGTTCCCATGCTGTTTAAATTGTATCCTCCCGGGCGCCTGGGTGGCTCAGTTGGTTAAGCGGCTGCCTTCGGCTCAG